AGTGGCCAAAAATTGAAAATTCTAGGTGTAATTTGAATTGCACTTCAATAGTTTGTATCTTTAGAAGTCTTGTATGGTACAGGGATTGGAGTTGCATATTGTATAGGTGTGGCTACGTTTTTCAGGGGCTGAAATAATTGTACATTATTTATTTTAGATATTCAGTGCTGTATACCTTTCAATACTTGTTAACCCGCCCCTATAACCCCCCACATGACTAGAAAGGTCTTTTTACTGGGATTCAATTCACGTGCTTATCATTGATAAGTGTCTGTTGGGGACAAAGTTATAGCCGATCCAGTGAGTTAGACTGTCACTTAATGCCCTATGTGTTTTTTGTACTGTGTGTCAATTTTAGGCCATCTAATTACTGTGTAATGACTCATGGGATTCAAATTTGACTTGTACTAGGCCTACAGCATGCACATGAGAGCGAAACTATTTTGGATACTATTTTGGTCACTCGACTGGTGGGATTCAAAAATTTGAGTACAATGTGCATTTTGTATGTATATAATTTTTAGTCAAAGTAGTCATGACACGGAAAAATAAGGGCCCAAAATGTACAAATATTGTAGATCTGCTGGCCAACTCCATACAATAGGGATTCCAGAAAATGAATATCAGCTGAAGGCATTGTACTGCACTTTTGTTCTCATAGAGAAGGCCCAGTGCTCTAGTACAAGAAGTATCCCTGCAATAATTCACTTTCCCTAATGCCATGTTGACTCACACCTACATAGCATGTCATACTGTACCCTTTTTGGTCCAAATTATGACATGATAGCTTTTTAACAGTTTTAGTAATTTTACAGTGCTCTATGTGTGGAACAAGAATAGTCTTAATTCCAACCAGCACAGGCAAGCTATCACAAAAAAAATAAAAAACTATTTGATACCAAAAGATTTTGAGTTTCTGAAATCACTTTTTGATGAGAATTCAGATCTGCTAAATTGAATACTATCTATATACAGTACCAAACATAAATCCATTCCAAAGAACAGATTGCTTGTAACATAAATCACTTACTACTGGAAGCTACACTTACACTTCACTAACTTCACCAACTACGACAGGATCAGCATCAACTAATCCTTTGATTCCCGCCAGTACCTCAATAGGCATATTGGAAGCAACTCTCTCTTCTTTGGTCAAGCTTGCTATGAATGACAGTGCTTGGTTCTTCAATCTCTCTCTCTCTCTCTCTCTCT